CCTCCACAAATCTCTCTTTGCATTTTTTACAACTCTTCTCAAATTACCCTGTAACCTTTTATACTCAATAAGGTTCTGAGCGTTACAATTTCTTTTCAACATTTTGAAAGCTTTATTTCGAGCCTTAATTGCTTCATCACATTTCTTTGTCCACCACGGTAGTCTTCTTCTTGGTCTTACCTCCTTTCTCCTTTATAAATCAATTTGCTGCTGATTTATAAAATGGCACAACACACAGATAAATTAAAATCATCAACACCAACACTTAAATCAACTTTTTGTAACTCCTGTTCACTTATGAGCCTAAACGATTCCCAATCAGTGCTACTGAAACACATCTCTACTGCTCCCATTCCATACTCTTCCACATTCAAACTTATTTCTGTCATTATAGGATCGTGATCACTACCTATTGTGTTATCTCTAATTACTTTCCATCTACTAATGCCTGCTAGTGACTCTGAAACCAAAGTGAGATCAATTACTTCTTCTGTACCCGCTCTTGCATTCACTCTTGTTCCACTTCAATCATTCAAACATACATACTTTTTGTTTTCCGTGAGTTCCTCAGTTACATTTCCATTCTCATTATTATACAGGGAGTGCAGAATTATTAGGCAAGTTGTATTTTTGAGGAATAATTTTATTATTGAACAACAACCATGTTCTCAATGAACCCAAAAAACTCATTAATATCAAAGCTGAATGTTTTTGGAAGTAGTTTGTAGTTTGTTTTTAGTTTTAGCTATTTTAGGGGGATATCTGTGTGTGCAGGTGACTATTACTGTGCATAATTATTAGGCAACTTAACAAAAAACAAATATATACCCATTTCAATTATTTATTTTTACCAGTGAAACCAATATAACATCTCCACATTCACAAATATACATTTCTGACATTCAAAAACAAAACAAAAACAAATCAGCGACCAATATAGCCACCTTTCTTTGCAAGGACACTCAAAAGCCTGCCATCCATGGATTCTGTCAGTGTTTTGATCTGTTCACCATCAACATTGCGTGCAGCAGCAACCACAGCCTCCCAGACACTGTTCAGAGAGGTGTACTGTTTTCCCTCCTTGTAAATCTCACATTTGATGATGGACCACAGGTTCTCAATGGGGTTCAGATCAGGTGAACAAGGTGGCCATGTCATTAGTTTTTCTTCTTTTATACCCTTTCTTGCCAGCCACGCTGTGGTGTACTTGGACCCGTGTGATGGAGCATTGTCCTGCATGAAAATCGTGTTTTTCTTGAAGGATGCAGACTTCTTCCTGTACCACTGCTTGAAGAAGGTGTCTTCCAGGAACTGGCAGTAGGACTGGGAGTTGAGCTTGACTCCATCCTCAACCCGAAAAGGCCCCACAAGCTCATCTTTGATGATACCAGCCCAAACCAGTACTCCACCTCCACCTTGCTGGCGTCTGAGTCGGACTGTAGCTCTCTGCCCTTTACCAATCCAGCCACGGGCCCATCCATCTGGCCCATCAAGACTCACTCTCATTTCATCAGTCCATAAAACCTTAGAAAAACCAGTCTTGAGATATTTCTTGGCCCAGTCTTGACGTTTCAGCTTGTGTGTCTTGTTCAGTGGTGGTCGTCTTTCAGCCTTTCTTACCATGGCCATGTCTCTGAGTATTGCACACCTTGTGCTTTTGGGCACTCCAGTGATGTTGCAGCTCTGAAATATGGCCAAACTGGTGGCAAGTGGCATCTTGGCAGCTGCACGCTTGACTTTTCTCAGTTCATGGGCAGTTATTTTGCGCCTTGGTTTTTCCACACGCTTCTTGCGACCCTGTTGACTATTTTGAATGAAACGCTTGATTGTTCGATGATCACGCTTCAGAAGCTTTGCAATTTTGAGACTGCTGCATCCCTCTGCAAGATATCTCACTATTTTTGACTTTTCTGAGCCTGTCAAGTCCTTCTTTTGACCCATTTTGCCAAAGGAAAGGACGTTGCCTAATAATTATGCACACCTGATATAGGGTGTTGATGTCATTAGACCACACCCCTTCTCATTACAGAGATGCACATCACCTAATATGCTTAATTGGTAGTAGGCTTTCGAGCCTATACAGCTTGGAGTAAGACAACATGCATGAAGAGGATGATGTGGACAAAATACTCATTTGCCTAATAATTCTGCACTCCCTGTAATTACCTCATGCTGTGCCGTGAGCATTAAAGTCTCCACACCATTCCACTTTTCCTTCTATGTACGTATCCATTTCTTCCATAAAATATAATGACAGCCTTTTATATGGATTGCAAAAATTAACAACTTTAATACTTCCTTTCTTTGTCCATGTTTCAATTACAATATATTTCAACTGCATACCTATTGCTAGAACTCTATACTGAATACCTTGTTCTACAAAAATTACACATCCTCCTCCTTTACTTTCTTTCCTATCTCTACCTACACTGCTATATCCTTTGATTACAAAATCTAAATTTGGTGTGAGCCATGTTTCCTGGATGCAAATGATATCAGGTGTCTTATTAAAAAGAATTTTATGAATCCTTTAAACTCTTGTCCATTTTCTAATAAACTTCTGGAATTCTATTGCAACATAATCGTATTATCTTCTCTTGTGATGTTCCTGGCTTCCCATCTTCCCTGGTCTTTTGTGTATATGTTCCCATGAAATCCCTCTCATAAATGATTGTGCTCCCCTCACAACCATTTAGATTTTTTCTGTCTTGTATTTTACTTGATCAGCACAGTTGACTACATATGCAATGAATATCTTTTCCACTGTGCTTTCAGTATCTGTTCTGTGTAATTGAGTCAAACCTGGTGATGACATCTGTTGAAGTCTTCCTATCTCCGTTTTTCCTTTCTGTTTTTGCACCTTTTAACAGCCTCGGCATAGCTTATGTTGTTACCCGCTTTAACCTGCACAACCTCAGTGGTCTTCTTCCTAGCTTCACATTCCTCATATATCACCATGTGCTTTCCTCCAACACTAAAAAATGTATCTGGCCCAATATTTCTCATACCTATGTTTATCCACACACCTAGTACACCTTTACTGTCCTCTGTAGAGTGCTGCTATATGCCAATATCGCTGACAGTTGTAGCATGTAAGAGGGGGAGAAATATATGACCAAACTATGAAACACATGAATTCTATTTTGACTTTTTCTGGAAGCATAGGTTCTTAAAAGGTTTTACATACATATTAAAAAAATGGCTACTTTTTTTTTTTTTTACCAGGTCCTAGTACTGGGTCCATTTGTTTATAGAAGGAAAGGTCAAATGCAGAAGCAGTGTGTGAAACAATAAGCACACTAAAAATCATTAAATTACATCTAAAATACAGGGTGGGCCATTTATATGGATACACCGTAATAACAAGGTTATGGTTGGTGATATTAAAGTCCTGTTTGTGGCACATTAGTATATGTGAGGGGGCAAACTCCTCAAGGACCATGTGACCATGGTGGCCATTTAGAAGTTGGCCATCTTGGATACAACTTTTGTTTTTTCAATAGGAAGAGGGCCATGTGACACATCAAACTTATTGGTGATGTCACAAGAAAAACAATGGTGTGCTTGGTTTCAACGTAACTTTATTCTTTCATGAGCTTGAGGACTTTAATATCACCAACCATTCCCATGTCATTACGGTGTATCCATATAAATGGCCCACCCTGTAGTAGGGGTTATTAGCCATTTTGTTGGGCATGTTTCACAGTGGGTACTCTATCTTGTCATATTTGGAATGAAAAAACAGTGTAACTACAGTACTGATTTGGTTGCCTCTAACCAGCTTTAGCAGCAATAATTTGAAGTAATCAGTGACCCAGTTTTGGCCATGCTTAATTCATAAGACAGATGGCATCACATTTGATTCTACAAAACTTTGCTATACAACAAAACCTAGGAAAGATGCCCAAGATGCAAAGTCCCCAAGTCCTGTGGCTCCAAAACCAGCCAACATCATCACTCCTCCACCACTGTGTTTGACTGTTGGTATGAGGTGTTTGTACTGATATGCTCTCTTTAGTTTTCTTTAAATGTGGTGCTGTGAACTTTGGTCTTCTCTGTCCAAAGAAGATATTTCCAGGAGTCTTGTGGTTCGTTGAGATGCAAAACTAAGCTTTGCTGCAGTGCTCTTTTGAGAGAAAAGGGGGCTTCAGTGAAGCCATGCTTGTTCAGCCTTTTTTGGATTGTGGTGCCATAAACTTTAAACATGATATAACTCAGGCCTGTAGAGTCTGAGATGTAGTGCTTGGATTTCTTTGCAGTTTGTCTGAGCATTGCAATGTCTAACTTTGGGTTGATTTTGCTGGGAAATACATTCCTACAAAGACAAATATCTGGCAACTGCCTTGAATAGTTTTTCTCACTGTAGAATTAAATTGTTTGGAAATGTCCTTATAACCCATCACAGAGTGTACTAGTGTAAGCGTGTACTTAGGTTTTCACAGGATTGCATGGAGTTCTCTGAAAACCCTTTTCACAGCTCTATTAGGCAGTTTCACACACTTTTTTTCTTTTCACATAAAGCCAACAATCTGTTTCATAAGCTGCTAGTATTTGGCCAAATATAAAAGCAAAATAACATTATTCTTGCACATAGGCTATGTCTACAGGTATTAAATCTTCTGTATCGGCTGACTTTAACAATTTAGTGGCTCTGTGGATAATATAAATAGCAAAAGCAAAATATCACTGATCATGTAGTTTGTATGTATCATACAGCCTGGTATGAAAGTTGGATGCCCATTAAAGTGGCACTTTGCAAAATACCAAATGGCTAACTCAGGAATTGGGATTGCAGAGGTTCTGCTATAAACTCTGTGCAAAAGGCTAAACCGTAACCTGGAAATTCCACAAAGTTGAGACATAAGACAGAAACAGTAAATTTATCTTATTCTGTAAAAAGACGAGCAATTTCTTAAAGTATTTTTTCCTTAACTGACCTCAAATATGACAAATGGAGAAATCTGGCCTAAATTCTTTGGCATCAAAATACAATCTCACTGTTGCGCTGAGCAGTTTGTATTTTATGCTTTATTGAAAAACTTCTGTGGTCATTTCCAGTTAAATTAAGAGATGACAGAGGACACTATTCCATAACATTCCCAGGAGCTGGTAGGATGTACTCAGAATGACGCAATCCAAAGGTAAAGCTCGGGGCTTTGGTTTTTGTGAGGTTTACCTAGGAAGGAAAAATCTTGATGAATAAAAAATGTTCATATTTGTGGAGCATTTAGGATAATAAGAACACGACATGATCAGGTTTCTTACTTGCTCAGGGTTGTATGCTCCTGGTCCTGGTTTCGCTGTGGTTTCACCGGGAGTGAAGTTGCGGCCTGTCATGCTGAATTGAGGAGGCTTCTGCCCATAAATACTGGGGTCCACAACTTTATAGGCAGCAGGACCAGGAGTCTGCGGCCAAGAGAAACAAAAGTATAGACAACAACAGTAAACCACAGTTGCTAGGGTTTTTTTTGTTTTGGTTTGGTTTCAGCTTTTTAGGGTTTGCTTGAGTAACTTTTATACCTGTATGTAACCAGTCTGGCCTCACACTGTCCTGCTACAGTCTGTGTTGTGGTTATGGTTTTGTTTCATATACATAGGGAATAGAGCCTGATGGAGGATTTTTAAGATACCAATATTTGGCAATTTATTTTTTTTCTGTCAGACACATGGAACATAAACAGATTTTCCTAGCATTTGTTGCGTATCATCACTTATGAGTCCTTACTTAGATAATATGACAGTGCAGTTTAAAAATAAACTTGTTCTCTGCTCCAACAAGCTGTAGGTTACTCATTTACAATCTGCCTATAGCTGCTTGGATCAGCTGGTTGTTGTATTTGTGGATTTGCAAACACCTGTTGCCAACAGGTAAGTTACAAAGTGCCCTCTAGTTGACAAACTACACAATATCAACAACCACAAGATGGTTGAAGGGTGTTTCTCCCTTCTCATCTTAACTTGTCTTAGCAAATTTCACTTATGAGCCATTTCAAAAGTAGATCAGTAAATGAGATAAAATAGAAAATTTGTTAATATATAATCATGATGCAATGCAATTTCTGTGCAGGTTTTTATATGTGCTTTGTATATATTTTTGGAATTTGAGTAATGAAATTTAATGTGATGGCACACACCTTATCAGTCAGCTAGTGGTCCTGTTGGGGGAGAGGTGTAATAGCTATATATAATAGCTACAATGATTTAGATAAATTTTAATGGAAGTGAAATTTGCAATGAAATGCATTATATAACCATGTATAACCATTACAACTGTTAAACACTGTTTTTACTAGTCACATGAAAAAGTTTTTCACAGGCCAGTCTGAGCACCTCTACAAAAACAGACATTTCAGGCCTCAGTTAGCAGGTTAAATGAAAAAGTTCATGACAGTAGAATTAGAGAACAAAGGAATAAGCACAGCTTGTTTGGAAGTGTTGCCAAAAGAAATAGTCTTCTCTATTAAAAAAAAACGTGGCAGCATGGTTTTCATGTGTAATTTTGCATTGGATCAAACCACAAGACTTCCAGAACAATTCTTAACAGACAACAAAGACCAGTGTTGGAGATGTTCGTCCATACCGCACAGCACCACATTTGGAGAAAACAAAACAGCGTATCAGCACAAATGCCTTAAAGGGGCTTTAAAAGAGCTGTGCATAAAGGAATGCCTGCAGACTTCTATGAACTGAAGCAATATTGTAAAGAAGACTGAGATAAAATACCTCCACAATCATGTCAGAGAAACGTTATACAGGGAGAGATTACTCCATGTTGCTTCACGTTATTGCTGATGAAGGCTCTACAAGCTATCGAACCATGGGGCTTACTTAGTTTTTTAGAGGACTACATAGAGTGATGTGTAAACTCTATTTTTAATGATTATATTAACACCAAATCCTCATAACTACCACCAATATTAACCTGTATTAATTCAATAAATATTACTTAGAAGACATAAAAATTGTTTACAGCAAACTAATACAAACTCAGCCAAAAACAAACACTTTACACTAAAAAGACAAGATGTAAAGTTTATACACAGGTTTAATCTGTAAACAGGAGTACAGTGGGAAACTACTGGAACCGATGTCCATGAGAAGTCAAAGGTCACACAAAGAAACTAAAACCTCCCAATAATATAAATTCATTAAAAAATGACAAAATTTTTCAGGGAACTATAACTCTTAAAAGACATGTTACATATATAACTCTGCACCTTGCTTTGGTCATCATAGAAGGTTCCGATTTTGTTGCGGCCACGTAATGAGAAGCAGGGAGCAGAAGATGCAACCGCAGTGTTCCCTATCATGGGAGGCAGGGAATAGGTTGCAGGACCTGCAGTAGGAGCAAGAGATAAAGCTTACAGATTTTGTACTATGAAACTTTTTTATTCATAGTACAAATACAAAACAACAAATACATATTTTACCTGGTGTTTTGTTGCCACCTAATTCCTTGTGCCTGGCTAACAGTGAATAAGCAGGCGCAGCGCGGTAGATCCACTTTGCTGAGTGCTCTGGGGAATATTGACCTGACAGCAACAAAGAAATTTGTATAAAGACACTGAGACCAGGAGTAAAGCATCTTCATATGCGTTTAATGTGTTAGGAGTTCTGCTGACCTGGTCCAGGAGGCTCGAAGAACTTGGGCTCCTTTGGACGGCTGTGGAGTGAAAATGAAGGCATGCTGCTCAGGCCCTCTCTGGTCATGTTGGTGGGAATCAGGTATCTTGGCCCAGGGGAAACGTTATTATTGACCTCCTTACGACGCATCCCAAAGCTGAACATTGGGGCTTTGCATTTGGTAGGGTCGTGCTGAGACACACCTTTATCATAGAAGAAGAACACACCCTTATTGAATACTACTGCTACTACTAATAATAATAATTGTGCTGATAACAAAAAAAAAAATTCTCTAACACTACCTGTGAGTCCAGGCAGTGCATACTTGGGCCCCGGGCTACCATAGAGGGCAGCTATAGGACCTCTTGGCTTGTGGGGCCTCCAGGTGCCAACCCAGGGATCAGCCTTCATCATTACCTTGACAGAGAAAGTCATGGAAAAAAAATAAAATGACTAAGGGGGGTTTGCACATTAAAAAAGAAAGAAAGAAAGAAAAAAAAGATAAAATCACTCATCCTTCTGTGGTATATATATATATATATATTCAGCTGATCCCTTATTAACCACAGCAGGTAGGTCCACATGTTTGATTTAGCAGATTTCTGCTGAGCATATTTGCCATGTCATGAAAGTGCATTACTATCGATGAAGGCTCTTTAAGCGTTTGCCAACTCAAAGTTCTTTCAAATCCTGCACCTTTCTGAGTGGCTCAGTAGTAACACGAGTGTGGCTTCACCTGGAACAGCAACACCACGGTGCTAATCATGGCAACAGATTTGGAACAATAATAACAATGACAACCATAACTCATTTCATATGTCATATGAATAACAACACTAACGCCAGAAAGAAACGTTAGTCATTTGCTAACTCGCACTGATTGAGCATAAGTGATCAATAATTATAAAACAGCTTTGCGCTCACCTGTGAAAACAAGCGCTAGCCATGTTAATGAGTTATATAAAGCATCGAGCTAAGTTCATGAATCATACATGGCTTTACTTACGCTTGACTTTTGTTTGACGGAGGCCTGGTTGATTATGTTTTTAACAGAAAAAGCTGTAAATCTTTCACCAAAAAAATAAATAAAGAAAAACTGTTTCTACCGTTTGCGTTCCAAACTAACGAATCACTGACTGCTTTCAGTTTTATTCAGTTGGTGAAATAAAGTAAACAGATTCGTGATTTTTACCTCACAAAATCCCGATCCTGCTTAGAGTCCGTGACAGGCTTTTTCCACAGAAATGAGCATGTGCGCTGAACCCAAACACAGATTGTTTAATGGTTGTCAACTTCACTATGACAACGTTTCCATGGCAATGACTCTCTGACATTTATTCTTAATATGTGTTGGATATAATGTTCTTTAACCAGTTTGACCGATAAAAAAATACTACTAATAATAACAATGAAAAAAAGGGAAAGGTTTCTAGTCAGCTCTGTTGGGGTGTCTTGGCTCCCTGGTATAATATCTGACTCACTCACATTTAACCAGAGACATGCAAGAAGTATATACATGCAATACATTATGCAGATGTTGTAAATGATTTATTAGGTATGAAATGCTGTTCTGCTACAGGGTCACACTGTGGGCACACTGCTTGGATTTAACCTCTTAGAACTAATGACAGGACCTGATATACTATTCAGTGCTAAACTCATTAAATGTTTGTTTTTTAATTCTAACTTTATTTCAAGTTTAACCACTTTTCTAGCACTCTATGCAGGACTGGTCCATGGCACAGATGTAGTTTTTACTCTTTGCCTGGTAACTGTTTCAAATACTTCAAATCATCTTAATCCACGGAAACAAACAAATATATGACTTAATCTTAATGCCCTCTACTGGAAATATCTTAGGCTTAATTTATAGACATTGGCACATTTTCATTGTCCCCTGTGAAGTGTGTAACAGTGTAAGCAGGACACATCATAAACAAAATATTTTAGTGCCAGAGGGGACAGTTACAATTGAAGCACATTAACACGGCTTAGACTGAAAGAGTAGAGCAGGTAATAGTTCTCGTTAGATTGTGTAGGTGATACTTTATTTCTTACATCTAAATCAGTATAGGTTATTAGCAATTTTGTTAGGCCCACATTTATTGTGAAATAGGGATATTTTAAAAAAGGGAAGATAAATATGAGACACGAAGGGGGAGGTTGGTCTTTATATATCAAATTCTGCTTTAAATGCACTCCAAAAACCAAACTGTAAAGGGCATTTTTCACAGTGGGTGCTCTATTTTGTCATATTTGGAATTAGGGAAAAAAGTGGCATCTCAGTGTGATGGCAAACACTTACAGGATCCTACAACTAAAGTAATTAGACAGAATTAAGCAATCATTTATTTAAGTGCTTGCACCTCAATTTTTTTTCCTCTGATTTGTCAAAATGTCTCTGTGGGGGGGAAAAACCCCAACAACAACAATATGCAGTATCAGTTTTTGTTTCTGTATAAACTCTTGTCTTCAAAGTGTAGCATTGGTGCTGCAGGCTCTAGTGAAGTATCTGTAGTTGTGGAAGGTTTCTCTCAAAGTGGCCTTCATGACTTTCATTAGAGGTGCAAGGCTTTCCATTTCCTCTTGGGAGCGCTGTAAGATACATGTATATATGTGTGTTTATTTAAAAAAAAGGAAAATTATAACACTTGAAAAAAAGTTTTCATATTTAGAACAAATGCAACATGATTTACTCATTGAACTTCCACTCTGTCTTACCCTTGTAAGTGCCCGTATCAGGCGGTGAAGCACTGCCTCCTCTCTGTGTGGACAAAGGCTGGTGACTGTGCTCACGCAGCTCAGCAGACAGTAAATGGTGTGTCTCTGTGGCTGTAACAATGTAATATCCCAAATAACATCTTGCATCTAAGGAGATCTACGTATAAATGTATAAATGCTTAGTAAGAAAGCCCAGGAGATTGTTTGCTTACTTTCTTGAGCACACTGAGAGGATTCCTGTTGCTTGCTCTAATACTCAGTCTTTCTATGTCCTCGGCACTGAGGACAGGGTCCTGAATGAGATTGGAGAAAACCAATAAAAGTGAGAGACAAATGTTTACTGCAGTACAGGGTGCTTAATCAGAAATCCCTTGTGTGATGCCACTAACCCTCAGCTTCTCCAGCCAGGTCCACAAGAGACAGCAGAGAACATGAGGATCTGATTCAGTGACCAGCAGAGCCCAGCCACACTCACTACTATTCAGTTCCTCCTATAGAAAAAGTGAGTGGTAGTATTAATTCACTGATATGTTCTGATTCATAACAATGATTACTTGTTTGTTCGTTTTACCTGCAGCAGAGCCGACCTTTGCAGAACTGTTTCTCCTGGAGGACCCTGCTCTGACATTGCTTTAGCTACAGGACGAGCCGTCGAGGTCGGGCCTAGGTTATGTGGATTTCTGCACAGCTGCATGTGACATTGGTTAGAACACATCCACAGCAAAGCTTTCTTTACCTTTACCATTTTTAAAAATAAATGTAAGGTTACCTCCACATTGGAACTGTATTTGGGTAGAGCCTTTTTAGCCTTGCACTTTGACTGCTTAGCACAGCTGCTGTTTGTTCTCATGCTGGACACTGGAATATTGAGTATATGAGTTTCCTTTTTGGTGGTTTGGTAGCCTGATGAAAGCCCACCAAAAACTGGACTAACTGGTCTGAGATCAGTTCGCACACGTTCCGGCAAACACCACTGGTTCTCATCTCCAAGAGCTGTGGTGCAGTATGGATTCAGCTCCGATCCCTTCAGTACAAAACGCAACAAAGGGGGACAAATCCTTTATAACCAGACCCATTTTACATTATTATTCAAGAATTTGAATAATTCTGTGTGCACAATTTTAAAATTTGACCTCATTTACCTTGATCTTGCTGAGATCAGAGTCACTGTAGCTGCGTTTGTCCATCAGTACCTCCCTCTTCCTCTCCAAGAATCCTAACGGGTCATCCCATGAGGACATTGACCCCGAACCTGCCCACGAGCTTCTATGACCTTCTCTCAGCAACGGCAAGTACTGCTTGGACACCAGAGTCTCTCTCACAGTGCTGCTCAGGACCCTAAGTGCGGACCTCTTGTCCAGTTCAGTATAGACCTCTGGAGGTGAAGGAAGACCCAGAGCCAAGCAGGAGAGACGCACACACAGGAGGTACACCACCTAATCAAGTGGAAGTCAGAAAAGAGGAGAAGGTTAATTGCTCTACAATCCAGGCATTTCATGACACAGGATTAATGTATTATGATGACAAAATCCAGACCTTTGGTGTTTGTCTGAGATTGCGAGCCTCCTTGCCGTGCAGTAGGAGTGCTTGTCGGTTTAGATAGTGCTGCAGGGTGAAAGGGGCTCCGTGTCTCAGGCTAAGGTCTGGGTATTGAACCAGCTGTGTGCTAAGCAGGCGAGCAAAATCAAACACCTTGCTTATCTGTGCCCGGGTTTGGATAGAGCGAGGTCGTTTAATCCGCACAAAGTGGACGGCCTCACTCGGGCTGATGCGCAAGGTGTAGATTAAGTAGCAAGCTATCAGGACACCTGGCGATCAGGAACACAGCAAGAGCATTATATGTGGCCAATCTGCAACATGCAATACTTACTTACATGGAATATATTTTTAACCCTACCTGTCCTCCCCAGGCCTGCATGACAGTGCACGGCCACTCTTCCTTCCCTCACCGCAAAGGCAATAACCTTCACTGCGTCAATTAACCCAACAAGAGATGACACTCCAAAATCTGGCATCCCAAAGTTGTAAAAGTAAACTGCACATAAACATATGTACATAAGAATAGTGAGCTGAAGGAAAGAGCATTAAAGCCATCAGCATAATGTTTGCACACAAAATAAACTGTTTTCTGTATTGAAAATAAATATGCTTTGCTTTCAGTGTTTTAAGATCTCACTGTCATTGTCCATGAAGATCTGAGGAGAGTAGGTGAAACCACTTTCAGGGTCCAGAGGAGGTCCACAGTGAGCATGCTCGCCTGGGAGCTGCATGTTAACGATCGACCTGATGTTTAACCTGCAAATAAAGTCAAAAACTGGAGGAAACCTGCAGACACTTGGTGTTCATCTCAAAGGTTTTTTGTTTGTTACTTGCTATGTGTCCACAGTTCCAGAAGTTTTAAAACTACTACGATCGTCAAGTGTCGTTGTAAAAAAGTGATACAAGATGCTTTATGTCCTTCCTTTTTTGCAGTAATTACTGTAAGGTTGCAGGCGCCATGCATCAATTTACTACACAGACAATACTGACCAGTGATTACCTTTGAAACTGATCTATGATGTTGTACTTCTCAATTAGATAACTTGATGGTCTTGCCATGGCAACTATGTCATCTGTTACCCTGAGACAAGTAGAAGTTCACAGTCAGCATGGACTCCTTACCGTTTTGCGAAAACACGCGCAACACAAAATTATGTGTGAGATTGCCAAACACTCTCACCAGGAGGAGAAAATGCCTCGAATAACTTGCTGGTTCAGCTTCCAGCACTCTGGTCCCTCGTAGCGACAATCTTTACCTCCACAGGCCAGTAGACAGAGGAGCTTGGGTGGGATAGCTTTCACCAGATTCTCCCTGGCCTGGGAATAGGTGGGCTGTGGTACCGGTATGTGAGGGGTCAACGTCGGCATCATCCTGCACATGTAAAACCTGCAAATCAGCTTTTGCTAACGTATTATATCTGTGAAGGATGCCTCACCTGGAAGAAATAGCAGCTTCCTTCGTCCTTCAACTCTGACAAACATGCAGCTTGCAGTCTGACAGTATTTGTATTACTTTTAGCTGTCATTTTACTTACTGTGCAAGGATCTCATGTCTGAAAGTGTTCTGCTTTAAGAACAGTCCAACTATATTGTTTTTATATAGCTTCATATGTAATAAACAGCAATTAAATGTAATGCTTACCTTTCTGTTTATGTTAAGAAGTGATGGTTTAAATCCCATTTAATGTATTTCTATGAGGCTTTAAGAAATATGAAGAAAAAAACTGATCAACAAAGCAGAGTACACATGGGCTCATCTGTCTTGATGCACACCGCTTGCACTCACTCACAAAACTGTGTGATGACCCAGCTCCACTAAGCCTGATTAGCTGTCATAAATACATTAGAACAGACACTCATGCATCGTAGCAAGCCAATTATATCCTTACACCTTCACCTATAAACACTGTGTATGTCCTAATTACTTAGCACCTGGCGTCATACATGATTTTACTCCACTTGATATGCTGAGAAACTGTAACAAGCACCAAAAGAGAGACTGTGTAAATGTTGTGCTTATACGGTGATCTCAGATCATCTCACACCAGATCAGTCTGACGACTATGGTAACTGATTTATTGAAAATTGATTGACTATAAAGTCTTCATGGCAGAAAATTGCCACACATTTTAATCTTATTGCACACTAAACTGCTGTGAATTGGAGATAAACGACGATATGTGCCCCTGGTTCTCTGTCTGTATATGACCACCTCCTGCACTACAAGCTGTTTGTGCAATAAATTCACTTCTCATTAGTACACTGGGATCTGCCCAGCCCGGGAGCCGCCACCAGTCCTCTCTGAGGCCTTTCCTAAACCGCAGCCTTACTTCATGCTCAAGCCATCTGCCAACATCTACTAGAAACACTGTCAAACTTAAATGAGGATTTGGTCGCAGCTACTGACTCCCCTTTGACATTATCGCCCCCTGCAGTGCTGCAACAGTAACTACATGGTAATGATGAAAAGATGATAATACAACTTTTTTCTATCCCAATTAGGGCTCATCTCCCATTTAAAAAATGATTACTATATGCTGGATAAATTTCACACATCTGCTCCTGCTCAGCACAGGACATGCTGGGGGAACAGAGCTACATTACAAAGCTTTTATTTGAAAGCAATTTTATATTCTAGTCATTTAACATTTCGTGTCCACTTTTTACCCTTCCTCTTTACTTGACAGTGGTATTAATTTAAGCAGATGCTGTGAGTGAGCTGCTCTCCCTTTATGCCCTTTCCAGTGCACCATCTGTCATTATACTTCTCTATTATTCAGTCCTTTCAACTTGAATCCCTGCATCTGACAGCCTGGCACTTAGCTTTGACATTTTCCATCCAAACTGCTACAAAAGACCAGACACTCTTATTCAGGAAATTGCCATTTACTAACATTTAGAAGAAATCCACATAACTAATCCTGCTTTTCTCTCCAAGTCACCATCTTATACCACTAGCAGTCAAAATGAAGGGAAACTGCATCAAGGTCACGTAGGCTGAATGTTTTACTCAAAGCATTGATAGCTATTTTCCTCCAGCTCAGTTTGTTAGTTTACAGTCAAATCGCTTCCTCACCTTTAACTCTTTAGTTACATTAGTAAACAAAATTAATTAATTAAAAGAAAATCTTGCCTGCCTGAGGGCCATTCTCAACATGCAGAAGCCGTACAGTTCGCTGTACAGATGACCTTAGGTCATACCCAAACACCAAGGAAGACGTGCTAGGAAATGTGGTGGCTTGTAAGGAAGTAATATATAAGCAAAGACAGGCAGAAGGTGAGATCCGTTTGCAAGGTCTGTCCAAGTTACAGCGCAAAACATACTGGTACTTCCGCTCAGCCTGGTTCCTGATAAAAAGATGTTGACTGATGATGAAACAAACCTGAAAGCCAAGAAAGACCTGGCCTGAAAAAACACTGACAAATTACACCGAATGTCGTCAACAATGAGCAGAGTCTGAAAAATATCTTTAAACACTAACTTTATTTGGAAAACATTGTTAGAGAATATTTTTGACAAGTGTCAACATCTTAAAGCACAAGTTGGAATGTACCCAGATAAATTGATGGGTAGGTATGGGATATGTAACACAGTATTTGTAAAACAGTACAACAGCTGAGAAACAGACAAAAGCAACAAAGAAAAAAAAAAAAAAAAAAAACACATGCTGCTTTACTGTGTTGCAATGACACTGGTGGTGTGTCAACACTGAAAAGATGCTTCCTTCCTCCTTTTAGTAAAAAGATTTTTTGTCGGGAGGATAGAAGATCACAAGATAAAAGAACTTAAGTTCCCTCTTTTTCCATTGTGGTTCATAAAAACAAAGTGAAAAAAGGCAAATGAGCCAAATTCGCAGATGTTCAAACAGGATAAGTTGCAGAAAGAAATCTGTCCTCACTTTGGTTTTGCTGCACCCCAGCATGCAATCCACCACATCTTATTGCATAATTTTATAAGCATAGAGAGACAAAAGCATATTAGGAGGGAGCATGACCTAACAATGTGATAAAGAAAGGATTACTCAGATTTAGGCAAAGAGGGACCAGAAGGCACGATGCTCCTTTGTGGATACATGTGATTCCACACTAGTAACAAAATCACTGCAATCCTCCTGCACCTCAGACTAAAAGGCACAAGCCTTTTCAAAAATGAGTTGCCATTAGATTAAGGACACAGAGGTGAACCACAGGGCTGGGTCTAACATTCACAGTTTGTGGCCTATAAATTGTCTTTAAATAAAGTTTTTTATTTTGTCATATCCCTCCTAGTAAATGGTTGAGGAAGATAAAGTCTAAGTACAAGGAAATGATTACTGCAGATGCTGCCTAGACAGGAGCCAAGGCATTAAATGGAAATGATAAGTGGTGATAAGTAGGAACAAAAAGAGAATAGACACTAGGTCAAGAGATAATGTAACTGATAACACAATCAAAAAGAGGAGTTATTAATTTTTTCCACCAGCCTTATCCCTTGTGTGATCACTAATGCTTGAAAGTTTCTTGACTGAATGTCTGTGCCTTCAGTCCTATTTTGTGGCGTTTAGTCTCTTTCTTCTATCCAAACAGTCCTTCCTCAGTTCTTGGACAACTCTTGGGATAGCCAGTCAAGTCCTTCATATAGCCCAGTTCCCTGGGTAGCGCAGGTAGACTCAATGTGCCACTGTGGGGGTGAGATAATGTGAGATTGTAAAAAGAGCGCCAAACGTGCTTGTTTTTTGTTTTTGTGTTTTTTTTTTCTTTCTGGTGTAAAGACTGTTTTCTACTCAAATTACTTACAGTTTTGCTGCGAAGGGCATGAAGGCCAAGTTTGTCCGTCAGCTCGCTGACCGATAAGGCGTTGGGAAGATCTTGTTTGTTTGCAAATACCAGCAAAACGGCATCTTTCAACTCGTCTTCTTGCAGCTGCAGAAACCAGATTAAAGATTTCATGTTATAGCAAAATAAACGGGGTGAAACTACTGAGTTTAGATCTTTGTGTGGCACCAATGATTCGACTTTACTGTCGTTTCAAGTCCTGATAAACTTGACTGTTATTTTTCTCTTTGACTACGGGGACCTATCGAGGCAGCAAAGTCATCTTAAATCATGATGCCACCACCTCCGTGCTTCAATTTTGGGACCACGGGTTCATGGCTCTACACCGTAAATATTGTTGCATGCTCATCTCAAACAGTACAACTCTATTTGTCCACAAACTCTATGATTATTTTGTAAAACTTTACAGTTTTACATACCTCAATCCATTTTCAATATGTAAATGGGGACAGGCTTTGGGACAGGCTTATGCACACATATACTCACATCTTTCATTTTCATGGGCTATGCCAGTAACAGTGAGGCAACACTAGAAAGTAGACACTACTTGCTTCTGGATGGCTCAGAAGAAGTAAAAATATGATGAGAAATCCATGTTTCTCCAAGGCACGGCCAAATCAATCAGCACTTCAAACTACAAACAGACTCCTACAGTAAGGAGGACAGTCATCTAACAGTAAAAAACAAACAAAAAAAACAAAAAAGGGGACAAATATTTAAGGATCAAGTACATCCTGTAAAGACTAGGTTTATGTTTTGAGTCCCTGTAAAGCATGATGGGAACAGAATTACACAGAATGAAACTGTTTTTCTTATTTAGCCAAGAACTCACCATCTTAGACAGCTCTTCTGCTGATTCAGCCACTCTTTCTCTGTCATTGCTGTCCACTACAAAGATGAGGCCCTGCACAACAAGAGAGGTTTTTGAAGTGATTACATTAGAATTTAATGTTGGTCATTTAATGAAAAGCAAATATGGTCAGTGTACTGGTATGTAGATTTTAAGATCAACTCAAACATGCCACAAGATAACAACTAAAGACATGTTCATACAGCTTTGGTGAAACTGCAATGACTTAAACTACAAGAAATATAAGACACATAAAATAAAACCAGTCATTATGTATTTTGACAAATACTTTAAATGCTTTAAACATTATGGCTGCGTTGCCATCATTTAGTTTTTTTTGTTTCTTTTGCATTTCTTAGCTGCCAACTGCTACTATTGCTCAATGACACATTGTTATGCCAAACATGAGATTATGTAATCATCAGAAACATTGTATCCAACCAGATGATTACTTTGAATCCCATTAACCTGGCCTCCAGGGACACTGCGAGGAATCTCGGGAGTTGTTTGTGATCAGGACGTGTCCTTCAATGTGCCCATTAAACAAATATCTAGGACTGCTTTCTTTCACCTATGTAACGGCACTAAAATTAGAAACACCCCATCTCAGAGCAATGCTAAAAACTAGTTCGTGCTTTTATTATTTATAAATTAAACTGCTGTAATTTATTATTATCTGGTTTTTCTAAATGTTCCCTGAAAAGTCTCAAACTAATACAAAATGCTTTAACAGAAGTATTAACAGGGACAAGAACGAGAGCTCATATTTCCCACATATCGGCTTCATTGGCTCCCTATTAAGGAATTAAAGTAAAGTGGGAGGCGGAGCCTTCAGCTATTTAGCTCCTCTCCTGTGGAACCAGCTCCCAGTTTGGATTTTAGACACAGAAACCCTCTCTACTACTGAAATTAGATTTAAAACTGTCCTTTTTGATAAAGCTTACAGATAGTACTGATCAAATGACCCTAGGGCAGCGGTCCCCAACCCCCGGGCCTCGGACCGGTACCGGTCCGTGAGTCGTTTGGTACCGGGCCGTGAGAGTTGAGGCTCAGGTGTGAAATGTATGGTTTTCAGGGTTTTTATCGGTTTTCAGCATTATTTTGTTATCATTTTTATTGTTAACTCTGTTTTCCTTGGTCTTTTCACGTGTGTTATGAATAAATCTTAAAGGCCGGTCCGGCCTTTAAGGTGTTGCAGATAAATACAACAAAATAAAACTAGTACCAGTACCGAAAAAAAGAAGATTTATTCATAACACAAGTGAAAAGACCCAGGAAAACCGAGTTAACGATAAAAACGATAACAAAATAACCTTGAAAACCATACATTTCACACCTGAGCCTCAACTTTCGCGGCCCGGTACCAAACGACTCACGGGCCGGTACCGGTCCGAGGCCCGGGGGTTGGGGACCGCTGCCCTAGGGCATCCATTAATTGCGCTGCTATAGGCTCAGGCTGCTGGGAGACTGCCTCCGGTACTGCCTGTCTCACTTACACACTTCTTTTTACTTTCTCTTTCACTCCACCTCCAACTGGATGGCTTCCTTGACCAAGTGTATTTCTGACTGAGTTTTTTCTTCCTGCTGTTACCTAGCGCCTCCTCTTGAGGCTTACCTGACTGTAGGAGTTTTCTCTCTAACACTGTGTGAGCTTTACCTTCCACTATAAAGCACTTTAAAGCAACTGTTATTGAGATTTGATAAGCTTGAACTGAGCTAAATTACCTTTAGGCTATTAATCCAAAGTTGTCACAAAACTGCATGACGGTCATATTACATACCTGTGTGTTCTGGAAGTAATGCCTCCAGAGAGGCCTGATCTTGTCCTGGCCACCCACGTCCCACACGGTGAAACTGATATTTTTAAATTCTACCGTCTCCACATTAAAACCTTTACAGAAGAAGAAGAAGAAGAAGCTCTTAACACTGCTAAACACTGGAGGGAACCATCAAAGAACCATAACTGAACTTCAAGTTGTAAAAGGAAAACTAAAGGAAAGTCTCTCACCGATGGTTGGGATGGTAGTTACAATTTCACCCAGCTTCAGTTTGTACAAGATGGTCGTTTTTCCCGCAGCATCCAATCCAACTGCAGGGAAACAACGTGGTTTAAATACAAGTCAACATTCATATTAAAAGTGAATACAAGTCAGTGCTGAACATTGAACTGATTGCGTAACAGCGTCTTCCTCCAGTCCAGTCACTCACCAGAAGTCGACTAATATCGTGCCCTGTCACGCCATTTGCGCAAATAAACGTCATCAGAAGATAATTGCTTAATTACTCGAGTTAAACAACGTGAAAACGCCGTAACGAGTTACCGTCAAACAACGTATGTTAGCATTTTTAGTTAAAACATTTACAGCTTTAATCGTCGCACTGTTATTCTTTCAAGTGCCCATTTGCCAATGACAATAACATTTCAATAAGATTTTTCTTTTAGTATTTTAACGTAATTTCTTTTAAAATGATGCTTTTTAACAGACTTTACTACGGAACTTCTTTTAAACCACACACATAAAAAATTAAAACCCACGACGACAAAAAAATTGTTACTTTTCTCAAACAACAAAATATTAAGAACAACAATAGTTATTATAATATAATTGTCTCTTCTTTGTGCTTTTCCTCCTCTTTCTCCCCCCAAATTTTAGAAGTCTGGGAAGTGCTCTCCCACGAACGCTCATCAACAACTAGCTAACAGCGCTATCTAAAGCTAGCACTCACCCATCAAAATCCTCATCTGTTTTTTGCCAAAAAGCCGACCGAAGATGGACGAGATGGTGAGCCCCATAACTGTCCGTGGATGTTTAACTTTGTGGGAGTAGAAGTGACACAAGCCGCAGCAGGAACACACACGTAGACTGTGTTGCTTTATCTCTGATCCGCTTTTTCACCGTGATTTCCACACAGGAGCACTGCCGACTGCCACGTCCGGGCCAACGTGGAACACGCACACGTCACAAGTTTGAATCAACTTTATCAACTCAATCTCTGTAAACACCACAACTCTTTTGTACGGTGCTGCGCTTGAGGTCTGTTTGTACGGTATAAAGAGCGGTATTACACGGGATATGAGAGAGTCTTTAACCATTCAAGAAAGTTTATTTAATATAATTTAAATAATTTTTTCCTGCTCTCATATGAACAAAATGCAGAGCCCAATTCTTACCACTAGATGTCCCTGTAACACAGACGTTCAATTACTGTAATCTAATACACCGACCAGTCCTCATCCTGTGAGTGTGTGTGCATCTATAGAATATACGAATGGCAAAAACGGTTTAGGGCCCTTCTATGATCAGCATACATCCCAAAAAGCCCTTGTTGGTTTAGCACAGGGGTAACACGTTTCTTGTAGTTGGTCACCAGGTTTGCACACATCTAAAGTGGGATTTTGACTAACTCTAAATCCTTGAGGTTTGGAGACTGGTAAGCCCACTCCATTACCTTAATATGATTCCTCTTCAGCCTTTCTTGCCTTGGCAGTGTGTGTTGGACCCATCTTCAGTGTTCTCATTGAGGGAAGGTGATTCTCAGCCAAGATTTCACGATGCATGCAATGAAGTTGCCCTGTACCCTAATCAGAAAAACAGCCCCAAAGCATAATGATTCCATCTCCATGCTTGACTGTGGGGATGGTGTTCTTTGGGTCATACTCTGTATTTCTCTTCCTCCAAACACAGCAGGTTGAATTGATGCCACATAGCTTGTTTTAGGTTTCAGCTGACCACAGCAGTTTTTCCCAAGCCTTCTCTTAATCATTTGGATCAGGGGTGTCATACACAAGACACAGGGGCCAGAACTGGCCCGCCACAGACTCTAATCTGGCCCACAGACAGCAGGAGGGCATATATTTGGCACTTTTCATACTTTTTTTTTTTTTTACACCTTTTTGCACTGATAAAGACCTCCCTTATTGTCATTTGTTCTATGCCATTCATACTACATAAACAGAAATTTTGCTAGTCCGACCCACTCAAGATTTCTTGTCGACTGTGGTCCCAGCTGTCTCCAGATGATTAACAGTCTCCTTCTGTGTAATTTTGGACTGATCCACCACTTTCTGTCATGATCATCTTGACCCAATGAAGATCTTGTATGATGCTCAAGACCAAGGCTGAATGAAGGTAATTTTAAATTTCTTCCATTTCCAAATGATTGCACCAATGGTTGTCACCTTCTCACCAAGCTTCTTGGTGATGGTCTTGTTCCTCATTCCAGCCTTGTGTAGGTCTACAAATATTGTCCCCGATGTCCTGTCACAGCTCTTTGGCCTTGCTCATGGTGATGGAGATGTTGGAGTGGAAGAAACTGATTCTGTGAACAGGTGCGCTTTGCACACATAATGAGTTGCGGTCATAAGTATCTGTAACTGATTGATTGAAATCTGCATGCAACATGGGCACACAGCGAAACTGTGGGTGTCAGAACTCTGGCTACATTGTCTCAAACATTCATTTTATGTAATTTTTATGTAATTGTTTTTCTTGATTTTTACTTGATATTCTACCTCTCTCCTTTTAAAATGACACTACAATAAAAATTAGATAGTGTTCATTTCTTTAGAAATGAACAAACCCAGAATTTCAAAAATAGATCAAATAATTATTTACCCAACTGTACTTGACAAAAGCGGTAAACAAATTAAGCACTGTGTTGACAAAATAAAAATTGAGTACAATTTTTTTTTAACTTTTAGAGAAAAAAAACTAGTGACTTTCCTGTTCTCCCAGAACTAAAAGTAAAGCAAGTCTTTACAATTTACTATAAATATACTGTGTTAGATAACAAAGTGTGAGAACAAACTGTGTTATTAAACCATGTAATACTTAAACAGGGTAGGATGTACATATTCAGGCTATGGCTTCCAGAAAAAAGAAGCAAGACACACTGATTAGTCAGCACTGCATCTTACAGAAAGTCAGTAACCCAGAATACAAGTGAAAGAAAAACGAAATAGTTAGAATATTTTTTTATTATCAGTATTCATTTTTTTTTTATTGCACATGTGTTTTCAGCTGTGGACTAAGTCAATAAGATTAGGATTTAGGTTTCCATGAAAACCTTAAAAATATTTGATCTGCTGTATGCTTTCATTTTATACTAGACTAAGACATGACACCTTTACTGAAGAATGTTAGGGATGCAAAACTTTTCTCAGACTTTCTCTATTATTTTCTTAGTTTGCAATAATCAGAAGAGGGCAAAACCTCAAACAGTGCAGAGAAACTCCAGTTTCATTGTCTTACTATATCTTCTAAATGGGTCATTATCTTGGAAGGCATCAAGTAAGGCGCAAACTAATTCCACTCTACCTGGGGATTACCAAGTATTGTCACAAACACACACACGCACTGAGTCAAGCAGGCGGAGTCACAACATGTGACAAGGTGCACCTTTTTATAGATGCACTCTATACACAAAGAAGTCACATTTTCATTGGCCTGTAATGAGAGCAGGTTATGGAGCTGTGCACATGCCGAATGTGACTTTTTACTTCTCAGGATGGAGCTAAATACTTTGCTGAGTGGAGCTCAGGTAGGCACTACATTCATTGTTTTTAATGGGCTTTAATCAATTTTTTTTTTTTGAAAAAAAACCTGTATAATAAAATCTTTTATCCTTGAAATGACTCAGGCATTTCCAAATTTTGCTTTCAGATCGATGTCCTCTCTACAGTGTACATAGTTTTACTCACTCCCAGGTACTCCTATGCACTTCCTCATATTATTATCATCATAAATATGATCATAGCAAACACAAGAAACTTTATTTTGCATGTTATTACCTTTATGACAGTTTCTAATTTTTTTTAAAAATCAACTGAGACCAGCAGGGCACCATGCAGAGATTTCAGGGACTTTCTCTTTGAATTCTCTCAGTTATCTTACATAATCCATCGTCACTGTCTGATATGTTTGCGTTTTAGGTTATTTAGTGTAGATGATACCTGTAATTTAAACACTTCCTTAAAGATCAATGATACTCCTAACCCTTTGTTGAAGAGTTTTTGTGTTTCTTTTTGTTTCTTGACAAAAGCAAAGCAAGAATAAGGGAGAGAGGAACTTTTTTAATGAATTACATAGTTTGTAATTGTTGTTGTTGACATGGTGCCATATGTCTAAGACATGTGGCAACATGTCTGTTTAACCCCCCCCCAAAAAAAAGCCATCATGCTTTGTGATGTTAACCTGGATGTAAGCAAATTTAGTCTATCACTATCACTAAACTGAGATATCGTACTTTAGTCTTTTCTTGCCACTTTCTATTTCTACTCCACCTCTCAAAAGGCAAATATTGAACTTTTTTATTTATCTGCATTTATCAGCTTTAGTTACTTTATAAAATCATAAGTTTACCCATTTGCTGCAGAAAATTTAATGGGAATCATTTTGCTGATATTTTGAGTTATCTTTCATATAAAAAAAACAAACAACAACAAAAGATGTTGGCATTACAATTGTGACAGCTGCTGCTTTTCCTTTTCATAATTTTAACAAGTTTTAATAAATTTAAAAATCTAAGCATTACCTATATTTACCCAGAGTAGTTAAGATTAGCTATACTTTAAGTTAATACAGCAAGAAAATCCTGATCTTGCATGAGTACTAATAATAATTATATGCATTAATGCAACAGTGTCACTTTTCAGGGCTGTTGACGTCTTTTAATACTAATACTAATACTAATAGTGAGTACATTGTTACAATACTTCTTAGCTAAGTAACATTTTCATTGTAAGACTTCTGCTTGCCACAGAATGCTTGAATAATAGTGGTATTACCTGAATAAAGGGTACGAAAAGTTAATGTAACCTGAGCAGTATTCGGGTGAACTGTGGTTTGGCACAATGTTAGTTGTTCATTTCTTTTAAACTTTTCCTTCAAATGACCTGCGGTCATTTAATAGTTTACATATTTCTTATTAACGTCAGTGTGATTGGGAGTTTCTCCGTCCTGGTGGTTTCCATAGCAAGATGGCAGCATCTAAAAGAGCAGGTGAGTCTAGGTGTATGCATTACTAATGGATTATTTAATGAAATTAATAATTACTGTGCATAAGGAACTATGTAGTTTGTCAACACTGCACAAGCCTTCATGCGTACTGTTTTGCAGGTACACCTCCTGGTGCAGCTTGCTCTCGCCGACCTCCTAGCTGCTCTGATCTTGATGTCCACGAGTGTCATGAACAAAATACCGTTTGACAACAGTATAGTCATCTGCCAATACGGCCTGCCGCTGTCACTGGTGAGAAATAGTTTATTTCATTGTTTGATCAGGCTTTTACCACCGCAAATAAATCATTAACAGGATTGCGTTTTGGTGGGGGAGTAGTTTAATCTTAAACAGGTTGGCAACGTTTAGGTGGTTTCACATTCCTTTTGGTACTTCCTGCTATAACAATCAACATTTACAGAGTAAAAAATCAGATTATTGTCAAATAATATAACGTTTTCTAAAGGCACTGAGGACATATCACGTAGTTCAAGCAGTAAAGTAAATCAAAAACACATGTTCCTTATATTGCCTCTATAAAATGACATAGTTAGCAGTTTTGCTGTGTCACGTTCCCTGTTATGCAAACATGTTCACATTCATCCCTCAGGCTGAGAGGAGGAGCTCCACATGCTTTTCATAACAGTTGTTCTCAGCATAAATTTCTAACTGGCAATGTCCATTGTGAACTCGGTTGACTAAAGTCTTTTGAGTTCTCGTTAGAATTTAGATTGATAAGCATTAAGGACAGTAGATATTGATTGTACATAAAAGCAACAGAAAAAGGAAAGAAAAGAAAAGAATGTATTGTAGGACCAAACTCTCAAATTCCTCTAGCTCAGATTGTGGAATTCTTTCAAAATGCAGATATGGAAAATATTTAACCTTTTTAAGAGTTTTTAAGAGAGGTAACTTAAGGTTACCTTATTTTGGGGTTCAGAGTCTTTATGCACTTCAACAGACTCATTAAATTCCAAATTTAGTTTACATGCTATAATATATAGACAGGGGTCCCCAACTCCAGGCCTCGAGGGCCGGGGTCCTGCAGTTTTTAGATTATCCGTGAGCCAACACAGCTGATTCAAATGGCTAAATTACCTCCTAAACATGTCTTGCAGTTGTCCAGAGCCTGGTAATGAACTAATCATTTGATTCAGGTGTGTAGACCCAGGGTGAGATCTAAACCTGCAGGACACTGGCCCTCGAGGCCTGGAGTTGGGGACCCCTGCTATAAGATAACAAACATCCACTGCAAATCCTAAAGGAGCATGGTATTAAATCATTTTTATATGGCCCTACATTTTAAAATTCAGCTAATGTAGCATCTCATTTTTATGTCTGCAGGTATGTCAGCAGAGGTTTACTGTACCTTACATTTACATTTAAATAAATAGCTGTATTTATACTTCATATCCTTCTTATACAAAGAAGCATGTTTAAAAAAAGAAAAAAATATCTCATTTCATTTTACAAGCAGCAGATGTAAAATCAAATAATAAAATGTCCTCACGTTGCTTCATAAAGATCGTCCTCGTAAAGATAAAGGTCCTCTTGCACGTTTGTCGGACACTGGTCCTAAGAATCAGCATAACCAACTGAGAAATCTTCAAGTATAAAGTTGTTCTCTGAGAACCAGAGCTCATCAGTATTCACATAAATTATATTTAACTGACATTTACTCTAAAGTAAATATCAATGCTTGGTCTAAAACTGCTTTATTGGTAAAACTGTCACATTTTGCGTTGTTCTTTGTGTTTTGTTCCAGACATTTTATTTCATTTCATTCCTGCTGGTGGTCGTTTACGCCTGGAAGTCAAAGAATGCAATCCAAGGATGGAGAGAAAGACCAGCGGATGATGATCTGGTGAGGCATTCGCTGCATCTGGTGATCATAATTTGTCCAGAAGCCAGATTCACTGACATTTTCTTGTTTTGCAGAATACATGTCGAAGACCAGAAATAGTCATACCTGTGTATGCCATTGTGTGGTAAGTTTTAACCACTTTTTCAAAAAATAAATGAATTAATAAATGCTTTAGTTTTTACCTAACCCACCATATGGTATCCCATGTGTGCACAATTTAATTCTTCTTCTCTATCTTCTGCCCAATATAACAGGTTGATCCCACTTGCACTTTACTTAGCATATGTGCTCACTCCTTTCATGAAAGCTACTTTGCTGATTCCAGCTACCAGCAGCTTGCCAAATCGGGTCTCCAGTAACGATAGCACGTATTGCACCAGGTGAGCATACAACCCAGAGATTCAGCCTCCTTCAAAATCTTTCAAAGACGTCACAGCAGTGAAATGGGTCTGTTCCCTTGTGTTTCTCACCTTTTTTGATTTTCTCTTTTTCACAGTTGTATTTTGTTCTTGCACGTCTGGAGGGAATCCTGCTCAGATGTTGTGAGTGTACAGCTGTCTTATGAAACCCTTTAACACACTTTCTTTTATCGAGGCCTCTGTTGTAGTGTGTGTGCGTATAGTCTCTGTTTAACAGAATAATAATGCTCTTTAGCATTGTTACATTTTGTATAAGCATATTTTTGATACATAATTCTCTTTTGCCCACAGGAGATAATCCATGACGTTTTCATCAGAGCTTTTCTTTTCATTGTGGTGATACCGGTGCTGGTGTCTTGCTCTGTGAGTTACTAACAATCACATTGCTGTAACATAACAAGCAAGTTTAAATACCAGTGTAATCTGATGAAACAAATGTTTTTTTCCTGTTTTGGTTCAGATTATTTACTATAAGGTTGGTAAGTGGTATGAAAGACGAGATCTGGAGGGGCTTTTTCCAGTGGAGGGAGATGGGCGTTCAAGAAGAAGAATGAAAAGAGCAATTTCTACCTCAAGGAATATGGTGACAGTCATCCTAATCTGCTGGGCACCAGGTACACAAATGCACGCACAAAGCTAGTGTAAATATCAACTTTAAGACAAAATTAAACTGATGTTTCTTCTTCTTGTAGCGCTTTTCCTCATCCTGCTATCTACCTTGTTGATGAGAACAAACGTTGAACAATACAGTTTATTTGGTGTTTATATGCTACAGGTATGTTTTAGTTACAGCTTTTCAGTGAGTAGGTTAAAATGTCCTCAGATGGCAGATTTGCAGGCTAAAATATTGCTTTTGTTTACTGCAGGCTGCCAGCGTGTCTCTACAAGGTTTCCTGAACAGCATGGTGTACGCCTGGAGAAGGCCCAACTTCACAGAGGCTGTTCTTGGAGAGAGCACACCCTTGGTGGCCTATAATCACATGCCCTTTTTTGAAGAGTCATTGAGGACCTCGTTTTAATGCTTTGGACTATAAACACATGGATGGACCATGTCGTGCTGCAATACATCATTCTGGCCTTAGGAGCCCGGTCTGCCTGCACACTTTGGACTGAAAGGAGTTTTTTTGTGGACTGAAGATGAAAAAACACCGAACAAAGTGATGAAGGAAACTCAAAGACTTTAAACAAGCTGTTGCTATATTTTCATTTACAGCTGCTGATGCTGACGTGTACTAAGTCATAGTGCAGCAGCACGTTTTCTTATCAATGAGGCCAAAAAACTGCTTGTATAGTTTTATTAAAGACTTATAAAGATGTTATTTTACAATTACAGACCTATTTGTGTTTAATTTCTATGTTATTATGTTTTACCACATTTATTTATTTTGATCAATGAAGTGCTTTTTATTCTTGACTCCTCAGCATTGTCTGTAGTACAAGGCAAAAACTGTGCTAAACATTAGACGTCATTCTTTCCAATCATAGTTACAGTAAACAGTTTTTATAAACATTTCCCAAGCCTTCTTGTCTGCCTCTGGATACTCTGAATGGTGGAAAAACTGCATGCCAACCTGCTGCTCTAATGTAAGTTATCACCTGACTTACTGTACTGCAATCTAAAAGTAAACTTGAGGTTCAGTTCTGGTCAAGCATTGTTGTTTTTTCCCCATCCCAGACACTCACCTGCAGGTGATAGATGGATATCATGAAGCATAAGCAAAAGTGTTTGTAGAATATTACAGTTTTAATTTGAAAGGAATCAGCCTAACCAACTGTGACAAAGTAAAAATGTTTTTATAAATGAATTAAAAGTAGTAAAAAAACAACAACAAACAAATGATTATGGCTTTCAAACTATTTGTGGTGACTATAAGCACACAGGGCTTGTAACAATCTAAAAAAAATCAGACAAAAAAACCCAACTTAAACTTCTTTAGCTCTTTAGTGCAGATATTTTCCCAGCGTTGATCAAACTGAGAAAAGAATGAGACACACCTTTGAAGACAGGCTTAACTATTGTCACACAGAGAGTTATTATATAGCAATAATCCTACATCTCCTGTACCTTTTGACCTATTTCTCTGGAGTCATTTATTACCTGAGGTGTTCCAGATATCGTGCCTATTCATGGATGTTGAGATAAAAAAAAGAAGAAAAAAAAGACTGTGTACCGGAGCTGATAATGCATATTCCCTACAAACAAGGTCAACTTATGGAAGCATATAAAACAGAGTACATTATCATGACTGACCCATTTACGTTATCTATCACTTGTTTGATCATAGCTTTTATTGTGTACAAAGTAGCCAGTGCATAGAAACTTAACTGGAAGCCTTTAATCGTGAGTTTATAAGTCTATCCTTAGAGGTCAAATGAGAATTGTATAACACTGTGTTACCAGCACACACACTAGCACTGAGAATGCACTGTCAGGCTTTTGTCTATGTCTATGCAGACAAACTATGTTGCCCCATTAATTATTGGTCCAGTGAATTTTTTTGAGGATGACAAATGAACTGCAGAGGTATGCTGACTACACCACAAGGCTTTCCAAATGAGGTTTGTGCCAGCTACAAGGTTATGTAAGAGGTTCTGTGGGAATTTCAGAGACACTGTGTTTAAGATCACAACACATGAAAACATTGGAATACAGCATTTTAGATCCACTGTGAAACCAGGCGAACCATGTCTAACTTTCTCCATTCAAACACTTTCTTTGAGGTCAGTACTCACATGGTTTCATTTCTTATTAAATGGTTTAATTCCTAAATACCCTCCTTGCTAATTAACAGGACTATGTTGGCTTCTCCCCCACTGTGTTAAGATCTGGTAACCCATTTGTTTTTAAAGATTGTAAAAAGAAACCTAGTTTTCCGGTTTTCATAAGGTCAGGTGTGTCACTGAAGAGTGACATAATTGTAAAATTTCCAACCTGTGTACTTGTGCAACATGCCCAAAAGGGGATTGCAGAACAACCAGACTTTCCTTCAGTAAAACTAAAACCGACTTTAACTCGGAGCTGACTTTTCCTAAGTCAGAGGTGTGGAAATTACCTTTTTGTTTTTAACCAATGTAGTTTTTTCACTAATACTCAAAATGTAATCACACTTCTTCTACACACTGACTCAAAACATACTTCCACAACATCTATTCGCGTTACAGTTAAATGTATTCAACAAAATACATCAAGACAAGAACACTATACAGCTTTTTCTTTTAGTTTCACTTTTACACCAGTGTCAGAGACTTGATAACAGCTCTCTGTTTGCTGTTTCAGTATATAAGCAGATTTGGCAGTGCCTGAGGATCTTCTTGTTGCTCCTTAACAGAGCCTATGTTTTCCAGCCTTACTGAGAAGAAGGAAAGTGTACTTGCACAAGCCATTGGTTTTCTTTCTTTTTCCTTTTTCCTGTAAATTTGAAAAGCTCCTCCCTAAAGTTGAGGCAGTGTTTACCTACCCTAACGCAGATCTTGTGTTTTCTCCTCAAAAGTCCATGGACAGGGATCTTTGCTGGGCTATTTCATAGCCTCTTCGGCTTCCGCCTCTCCGCACATACACATCATACCTTCCATCCTCCTCCTCTTCTTCCTCTTCCATTACTCTGTCCTGCCGCCCCAGAGCTCTCTCTCCCATACCATGATGGCCCTGCATTCGGCCTGATTTCATACTGGGCCAGCTCTTCTTCCTCAGACTGCTGTTGAAATCTCTTAGGGGAGGCAAGGAGTTTTGGAAGTCTACTCTGAAAGGTGGAAGCTCCATGGATCCCCTTCCCAGGCCTTGCGCCCCTAGGCTGCCTTTAATGGAGTTGATAGAGGCCAGAGAGCCACAATGGTGTTCGTGTATGCAGCGCGATCCTGACGAGGACCTCCTGAGCGCTTGTAGGGACTGGAGCTCCTCTGACAACTCCCCAAGGTCTCTTGAAGAAATCTTGTGTGAAGGACAACGTTAATAAATTAGTAGTTTTAAAACGATATAAACATGTACCAATAATATAATGTGTAAAAGCAATAAAACTGACCTTGTCTCTGAGATTAAAGAGTTCATAGTGAGGAGGGTCAAACACCTCCTGGAAGTCAGCACGAGGAAACAAGTTGTTCTTACGAACCAACACCTTTAAAATATGACAGGGAATCACTATTTTATTTGTAGTTTCTATGAGAAAAATTTAGTGGGATGATGTTAGAAGAATTCGACAACAAATTTTCTTAAATACCTTCTTACGTGGCTGCTTGACTTGCACCAGAATGGAGACAATTAGGAGTAACAGCACCACCCCCGTAGACACACAGATTATTGTCCCGTGAGTCTTTGTGATCTGGTGAAAAAGACCTTTGTTCTTTTTCTCTGGAGGATTGAAATGACGACATAAAGAGTTAAAAATATCAGAGGCTTTCAAAGGCACCGAGAGTGCATTAGTCATTTACTTGTTCCCTCCTGTGTCAACACAATTCGTATCTCTGGATGCCAGGAACAATTCAAAGCAGTTACTAAAAGCTAAGGCACTGATAAACACCCATCCCAGCACTAGAAATGCTTAAGATCCACTTATTAGCCAAAAAGCCTTGAAGGCCTTTCAGTTGGAAACGCGTCAAAACTATGAGATTGTGCTTTTCCTGCCAAGTGGAAACACATCGATATTAACTGTTCTGTAGTTGCTGCAGCCGGTGTGTGTGTTTCATAATGATCCTCAAGGAGACTCAATGTGACACAACAAAGGCAGACATGACATCCATCATTTCACAAAGCATGACAGAATTACACAGCATAACACATCACAGCAGACCAAAGAAAGCATTTCTGCCAAAAGGCTTCAGCAGAATCGAGGTACCTTTGCAGTTGCTTTCGTCCCAAGGAAAGACACAGTTTTGTATGCCGTTGCACACCAGAGAAGTGTTGATGCACATGTTAGTGTGGCAAAAGAACGCACCGCTCATACAGGGTGCTAAAACACAAACACAAGTGTATATGAAGTATGTGTACAACCTGACAAAGCATCGAAAGCTACAAGCAGAAAGAATGTGGCATGTCCTTATCAGAGATCCAACTATAAAATGCTTATCAGAACTATTATTATTTCCTATTGCTAAGACGTACTATATAAGGTGCAGTGATTAAAAGTAACCACCAAAATATGCACCGTATCTTTAATACATGTACTTTCCCATCGCAGCTGAAAAAGCAAAATGATGGGCAGGGGGGAAAGAATAATCTGAAGGAGACACTCACGGTCAGCAAAAGATGTGAACAGCATCCGGAAGCGGCTGAGACGGCTTGTCTCATCAGCCCACATCCTCACTACTCCCACACCAGTGTCCAGCATGATGTCATTAGCTACTGTACTACAAAACTTGGCCTGCAAGAAACCACACACCACTTTCTTTTATGGATGTTGATGTGCGGACTCAATGAGGCCAAGGTCTGTAGAACAGTTGCTACATATTTGTGATTTAAATATGGCATTAAAAAGGAGCATGTATGGCAAAGAAAGAAAGATAAATCCTGTAGCAGAAGAAGAACCTCAGACCTGAAAGCATAGTGCAATGTAATGCGCAACAAACTTAGTGCGTCAGGCAGAGACAGAGTAATATTTATGATGTTATGCAAAGAATTACCTTTAGATCCTCAATGGCATTACTGCCATCATAAACAGCCACAAAGTTCTTCTTACATTCATTGGAGTTTTCCATCTGGTATTCCAAAAATCGCAGGTAAATCTGGAATGAGTAATGGAGAGGGAAACAGTGTACACTTTTCATTTTTCACACACAACCTGATTCCAAAAAAGTCGGGATGCTGTATAAAAAAGGAATCCAATGATTTGTAAATCCCATAAACATGAAAAACAAGTCAACTGTTTAAACTGGGAACAATATTCCTGCCATTTCCATAGAGGTTGGGGTCTACCACACCAGGCAAGACCCCAGCTGCATGCTGGAGCTAGCAGGCAAGGACATACGTGGAACGCTATCACCAAGTGGCTGTTGTAGTCTACAGGGCCTGGAAGTGGCCTGGAAGTCCTGAGGTCAAAATGAGATATGCCCCCTAGGGAGGTTGAGGATGACCGAGCTAAGATCCTGTGGGACTTCCAGATGCAGGCAGACAAACTGGTGATGGCTAACCAACCAGACATAGTAGTGACAGCTGTAGTGATAGATGTAGCTCTATCGAGTGATAACAACATCAGGAAGAAGGAAGGCGAGAAGCTCGAGAAGTACCACGGGCTGAGAGAGGAGCTCAAGAAGACGTGAAGGGTGAAGGCAACAGTGGTACCCCCATACGGGACGAGTGCCTCCAGCAGATCTCAGGAACAACATCTGAGATCTTTGTCCAAAAGATCGCCGTCCTAGGAAGCGCAGGATCAGCTGCTGGACTTTTAGGAGAGGAATGTTGTTCTGTTCATGCCTGATGTAGGATTCTAGCTGCTCAGCAGTCCTGGGCATTCTTTGTTGTAGCTTTTGCTTAATGATTCAAATGTTTTGATTTAATGAAAAGTCTCTGCTGCAGACAGGCCGGTTTGGCATCCGAGAAATTCTGCTACAAAGCTATGATGTTGACATATGCGTGCAGTACATTTAGTTTTGTCTTGCTGAAATATAGAAGGCCTTATCTGAAAAAGATATCATATACATGGTACCTGTACAGCCACTTCCATAGGTACTACTTCACTTCCATCAAAGATTCATGCTTTTTAAGTCTGCGCTCATAACAAGACAGATGGTCCCTCTCCTCCTTAGTCCAGAGAAAGCAGCGCCCAAGTTTTCCAAAAAAATAGTTTGAAATTTTGATTTGCCAAACTGTGTTCACAGACAGTGATTTTGGAGCTCATGCAGTTATTTACGTGGCGGACTCACACCTGTTTTTGATGCAGTGCCATCTGAGAGCCTGAAGATTATGGGCATCTGTCATGTTCCAGAGTTTGAGCCTTATTAACTGAATACTATTATTTTATGGTTCTTAGTTGACTGTTAAACTTGATCTTTATGTATCTTGGGCCTTTCAGTTTATTTTCTGGTTTGGGTCGATTTAGCATAGTTGTTTCATGTTTATTTTCCTGGCTTTACCTTCATGTCTTTGTCAAATATGAGTGTGCTAAGGTCTTATCTCTGTGGTAGGTATGTGACTTCCTTTTTTTGTGTTTTATTTCTAGTTTCACTTCTGTTGTCTCTAATTTGTCTTTAGCTGTTTCTCATTTCCTACCTCTTCCCAACCCTCATGATTAGCCTTTAGTGTGTCAGCTTGTATAGACAGGCTTAGTGACTCCCTTTGTCTCTGTCTGTATGTTAATGTTTCTCTCCCTGTGTGTTCCCAACTTTCAGTTGCCTTCTTAATGGACTTTAGCATTTTTGGTTCTTGCTACATCGAGGTCTGCCTGTCAGAGTCTGCATTTGGATCCTCAATCTGCTAAACTATGACAGCATCCAATTCTGGCTTTCAGCTTTGTCCCTTGCACAGAGATTTCTCCAAATTCTCTCAATCTTTTGAAAATGCACTGTAGATGGTGAAATATTTAAACTCTTTACCATTTAACATGTTCTCTTGTAAATAACATACAGCATGAGATTTGCAAAGCATTGCATTCCCTTCCTATTTACATTTCACAGCTTTTTACAACATGGGTTTGTAATTCAGCTAGTTTCTGTTTGCCAACAGAAGACAGTTGAATCATCACTGATATAAATCATTTTGACTCAGCTTTACTGCAGATGTACTTAAGCTGACTGTCAGATTATCGATGCACATGTTTATTATTTATATGCATAAGCTGCAGATTAGTAGTTGCTTGATATAAAAAAAAGATGCTTGGGATGCTTTGTTTTTCAAATAAAGTAAAGAATATAGAAAAATACATCACAGCAGATATGGAGAGGGTGAAGGGTGAAAGCAGAAAGCAAAATAAGCTGCAGGCTGCAGACTCATCTTTCATTCCACTGTACTGTTTGTCATTTTGTTCCCAATGAATTATATCCCCTCTCCTTAAATTCATTTTGTTGAGAAGAAATATTTCTCCTTTCCTTTATTTTCCTTTCCTTTCTGCTTTTCCTTTTTAAAACTTTCAGTTATCACTCAGTTGAAAACGCAGAAATGGAGAACTGGATGTATAAATGCAAATTTAACGATGTCATTTCAATATCTTACCCTGTTCTTTGTTGGGGCACGTATAGTCCAGATGCAATCCACTGCCTGGTCTGGCTTCACTTTGGACTCTTCGTCCACCTGACTTGAACGGATTACACCGTCAGCTCCAGACAGCTCAAACTGACAATCTGACCCAGAGACGACAGTTGGCAAGAAACAAAGTGGAAGCAAAAAGGAGGACATGTGATCAGATGGAAAGTAACAACTTTATTTCACATGGCAGTCTAAAGATGTACACCTGGAGCTGCATGGGTTTTCTTATACATGCTGTTGCACTACCTGGGATGGGGTTTAAAAGTCCTCCCACATGCAGATGAAATTCAGGATCTTCGGGGTGAGAAATAAGAAGAGCACAGAATCACTGGTCCGGAAAGGCTATTTGTTTTTGAGCAGTGTGAAAATGGTACATCCACTCTGCATTTTAGTCACCTGCAGCAAAGCTGTACTGGACCTGGAAGCCAGTCCCCTCCAGCTCTTCATCACTGAAGAAGCGGATCCACATGAAGCGTCCGCTCGACAGGATGAGTCCAGGACTGGCTGATCCGCAGAAGCGATTGATGAGCGGGGAGAAACTAAAGGGACCGTCCCGCACTTCGATGTGGTCGAAGCGACATTCGAACGACGCCTCGATGTGGAAGACTTCGTCAAACATCAGCTCTATTCTCTGGCGAGGCAGGGCTGGGGAACAATTGGCACTCTTTTACTGTCAGAGCCGATTCAGGAATACAAAACGCTATAAAAACGGCAACAAGAAAGACACGTTTGCTCCTTTCAGATGCTACTCTGTCTCGTATGTTCTTTATATATAATTACTGGTTGAGAAGTTAATGAACGATACATTAAAATAACACAGTTTTGTCTTTAATGACAAAAGAGGAAAATGAGGCATTGTACATAATAGGTTTTATATGTGTCGATGGCATCGGATTCCCGCAGAGCCAATCCGAGCCAATACAAGAATATGTCCCAATATCTGAACTGTTTTTCAGCTTGGGCTGTGTGCTTCTCATCAGTTACCTTCCAGCACATAGAGGCACTCCTTGTTTGGAGGGTACGTATTTGGGTAGTTTGGGGAACTGAAAGTGCCGCCATCAGTGGTTCGTACCCAGTTTCCACAGTGACGCGCTCGTAGAGAAGGGTTAACTGCTTTCGACCCTGCACCTGAATCTGCACATTATGAAAACCAAGCAACACAAGGCATTCAAACCTACAAAAAATTATCCGGGTAAAAGCTGCTGACATCTAAAATGCAGTTATGGACACAATTGTGTAATAAATAAATAAATACATCGCAAATTAAAGAAGAATATGGAAATGTATAAAGGAGTCCATTTGTCAAAGGAGCAGAATAAAGATTGCAATCTTACCTTTAATCTTTTGCACCAGTGCAAATCCCCCCTCAATGAATAGGAGAAATATCCAGACTGTACAGAAGTCAACAGTGTGTGAAATCATAGTAAGGAGAGGTACAATCAAGGAATAAAGGAAACGAGAGCTTAGCAGGATTTCTTTGTCTGTGCTTTATGTTTCAGTACACTCAGCAGAATCCTTGAATGTATATTAAAGGCAAGGGTGTGGGGTTCAAAGCTTGGGAGTGAGAGAACAAGCTGCTTCTACCATCTGCTTCCTTAACTCTTACTCTTATCTTTGCATCCTCTTTTTTTTCGTCAAGATTTATGCTGGGTGAGAGGACTGCTGTCTGCCAAGAAGCTGTTCAAGGACACCTAATGGTAAATATGCATTAAAAAAAGAAAAAAAAAGTTTCATGAAATCATATCTTGCACCACATTTGTACCTATTACATAAAATGTGACCCAAATAAATCATCTTGCCCAGGGGCACCAGTCTGCTTAGAACTTGCTTTGAGTTTTCACCAAAGTGGCATGTTGGCATGTTGCTGCACATCCAGGGACAAAAAGCAAAACAAAAATGACAGTTATGATATAGGCTGTGGACGTTCGTGCTGCATGTTCTGTCTGTCACAGCTTGTGACCTGGGAAACAGGCAGATTTATAACTTCGGACTCTGTTTTCAATTCATTATTGTTGTAGAATAAGGTAAATAAGATGTGTGGCTCACTGCCATGCTGCATGTAAAATTTACTTGCAGCCCTTCTTCTGAGAACATATTAAGTGGGTGCAGAAGAGGAACAGAGGCAGCAACAGCAGCCCAAATCCTCCACTCGCCCAGGCACTGAGCCACCACACGCTGACGCAAAAGGGGAAAAACGGATTTCCTACTTTTTTTTAAAGAAAAATCCGTGTTGCTTATTTTTCTTACTTTTTTGGAGTAACTGCACCGAGCAAGTGTGGGGAGCTGTTACTTCAGCACCACGAATCGATGCACAAGAGAAACTTTCAAAACAAAGAAAAAAAAAACGATTTCTTTGCACAAAGTAACTACACAAACATGTCAGAAAACAGCCAAGAAAAAACCCCTAAAAACCAGATTTGAGACACCCGCGTTTCTAACAACTCTCTCTTTCCCCCTCAGACATTTAAGTAAATAAATACGCGATCTGCTCTAAAGTGCGAAAATATGGATGATTTCTCTTACCTGCGTACATCCTCGCCGCTGAGCTCCTTTTTATGAGTTTTTCTGTTTTCAAACTTGTCCCTCACATCCCCTGTTTATGTCAGTAGTACGGATTACCGCACGTTAAAACTACTGATTTAGAAAATCCGAACTTTCATCCTTGTCGTGTTGGTCAAACTGAGAGCGACTCAGGTGCGAAAAAGAGCAGATTAACTTCTGATTCGTCATCAGAATCAGAAGTTTGCACAGTTTTCCTGCCCAGCTCGGTGTATGAGACTCAGCCTCAAACAAACGGATGATCAGTCTGCAGCTGCTCGCGGTTTAAAGATTGAGCTCAGTTGGCGCTAGACTGTAGGGGAAAGCTGATTGCGCATGTGCCTCATCAGTTATGAGTATTGGTGATATGATAAACCTCCAGTCGCCCGTTTGGCATGGGGATGAATTAAATTGGGATTTCCCATTTTTCAAATTTTAATTAGCTGATACTGGCTGCCGCACTCACTCTCCCAGACAGACAGTCACGCGCGCGCGCACACACACACGGCGGGGGGACCGTGCCAAAAAGCCCACTGAGCATAAGTCTGTCGGTGCATTGCTGTGAATTCCTATTCAGAGCAGAGAGCATGGACACATTGGCTCTAGCCTTCTCATTTTTCACCAAGGACACTCATCACCTAAAGCCCCAAAAAGCTGGCTATAGAGCCAGAGAGAGATGGAAATGGAAGCCAAGTGTAGGTGGGATAGAGATTTTCCTTTGATGTGTTAGCTTTTAAGACAAAAACGATTCACCACATCCACTGGAGGATTTGTACTGTATCTTATAGGTGAATGTGCTTGCTTTAAATCAGAAGCTTGTCACAAGAAGTGGGACATTTGCCAGTTCTCCCTTCAGTTGATCAGTTGTATCAAAACCTTCCTACTTGTTTTTCACATTCAATGCATGTTTACAACCAATCAAAGAAGCAGACAAATCTGAATATATTAAGTTGTTATACCATTTATGAATACTTTTGATCTGATAGTGGAGGATATTCCTCAGACTTTCCTTTAGAAGCTACAGGGAAATTTCTTTAAGTAAAAAGATAAGTACTATCAAGAGTTCAAAGTACTTCTACTTGTTACAAGTAATAACATATAAGAGTATACGTTTTAAATATGTATTTAATCGTTGGATTGATATTGCTTATTTAATAACATTCAAGCTGAATTAATGTAATTTTAGCTTTTTTGATCAACGTGGGAAAACTATTATGGTAAAAAGTTAATAGTATAAAAAAGCCTCAGTTTACTATATAACTACAAGTGCTATACAAACCCAATCACACAAAAGAAAGTGAGACAGTGTATAAAATATGAATAAAAAAAGAACTCAGTGATCCGCAAATGTAAATTAACCTGTATCTTATTCACAGTAGGCCATAGAAAACCTATCAAATCTTTAAACTGAGAAAAAGCAAGTGAAGTTTATTTGTAAAGCGCCTTTTGCAGACACAAGACAAGTCACAAAGCACAATCAAAATAATACGATTAATCAAAATCAGTTACTAACAATAAAAATCTTAACAGAAAGCTGTTAAATAATAACTGCTTTTTAACAGCAGGAGACTATTCCAAAGTCTAGGTAGTAGAGATTAGGAAGCTAATCTACAACAGATTAAAAACACGCCGACACGCTTCAAAAAACACGCTTCAAACCACAGAGCAACACAAACCAAAGACAATCCTTATTTATTAGGTGGGTAAGAAAGTCAGCAGGAGATAAAAGCTCGCTCACACAGCATGTGGACTCTCACAAAGCTGCATCCTCTGGGCTTGTGTTTGAAAACAACACTTTCCCCTGTGACTGATTATAAAGTGAAGGTGTTGTCTCTGAGTTGCGTGAATCGTTTATTATCGGCGTGTGTTCGGTTGGGAAAGAGAGCTTAAACTCCACCTCAGCCTGAGCCATGTGAAGTCTGAACTCAAAGTGTCCACGCAAACCTGCTGTTACACACACAGCCAGTCCTCTGGTCCTCTGCCTGCTGCTCGTTCACTGAGACGCATGCAAAACAAGTACACATACAGGTACACTTTCACCACACATCAAGGGTATTCAAATCCACATCCGTTACCATAGCAACCAGACTTTAGTCTTGGCTGCTTCTTCTGAGGTAATCAGACACCTAGAGAGCAGAGGTTTGAGGGGGTTTGACAGAGACGGGGATCAAAGTGGAACAAAAGGTGTGCTGCTGCTCCAAGAGGCGAAAAGTACTGTTGATTTTTATTCCCCTGCTTTGAACTTTCTGAATAGAAAAGTAGAACAAAACACAAGTTGGCATGTTTTTCTTGTTTCAAAGTGTTTCTTATTTTTCAAACATTAGGAAGGAAGGAAGGAAGGAAGGAAGGAAGGAAGGAAGGAAGGAAGCAGGGATCTGTTCTTTAGTACACTGCTGAAAAAAATAAAGGAATACTTTAAAAACATCACATTTTCATAGGAAAAATCACATATATATTGATATGGAATTAAAGGATGCCACAGAAATGGATGAAAATGAAAACGATCAACCTACAGACATATGATTTCAAAAACACCCTGAAAGTGAAAAAATGATGCACCAGGCTAGTCACAGCAAATAAAAATGTTACTCAGTAGTTGGTATGGCCCCCATGTGCTTGTATGCATGCCTGATAATGTCAGTGCTCCTAATGAGACAACAGATGGTGTCTTGGGGGAACACCTCCCAGATGTGGACCGGGGCGTCGCTGAGCTCCTGGACAGTTTGAGATGCAACCTGGTGGTGTCGGACGTAGCGAAACATAATGTCCCAGAGATGTTCTGTTGGATTTAGGTCAGGCAAACGAGGAGACCAGTCAATGGTATAGATTCCTTTAGATGCACAATGTTCTCCACAGCTTTTTCAGACCATTTCACAGCTGTCACATGTGTTCAGGGTGAACCTGTTCTCATCTGTGAAAAGCACACGGCAGCAGTTATGTACCTGCCAATTTTGGCAAATATGACAAATACCAATGGGGGTCCTGACGCCCCCAACTAGAGGATATCAGGCTCACAGGTCAACCTTAATGAAGTCTGCTTCTGATTGCTTAGTCAGAAACATTCACTCCAGTGGCCTGCTGGAGGTTGTTTTTGTAGGGCTCAGGCAGAAAGACAATGTGCTAGAAGACCATGCTACATATTGATCCTAGTGGAGTTGGTCTGCCTGTGCAACGTCTGAATATCTATATTCCATGTGGATTGAATGGCATGACAACAGTCATAGCACCCTCTGAACAGCTGTAGAGTAAGATTAGATAAAGTCCAGCTGGAATTTTGACATTTTTTGTAACACCGCAGTGTTTTGGCAATTAGATGCAAAACTGCAAACACTGAAAAAGACACACAAAAGAGGATAATGAATTCTAAATTGTTCATTTGCAGGGCCGCGAGTTTTAATTAGCATTTTGACTAAAGTCTCAACGAGGCAAGTGATTGCTCTTATGCGCATGTGATTACAGAGGAAATTAGCATCTTCAATTTGCAGAGTACACGGATGAGTGAGCCAGGTGAGTTGGTGAAATCAACTTTAGCTCATTTAGCCTTTCTTTTCTCATTAGGAAAACGCACAAGCCCATGCACAATTTTGCAGTTTTATTAATCTGAATGAGCTGTCATGAACAGGTTCAACTTTAAGGTCATGCATCACACACAAGGACGTTTCATGGAGTTCAACAGTAACATGTTATGACACGGTAAAGCAGTTCCAGTGGATCTTTAACCCTTTCCAAGCACAATACTGCCACAGAAACACGCTGCCTGGACTTTGAATCTATGCCACTGTTTCCTTGAGCTGCATGTCTGCGTGTCACCATTTTAAACGACAGATTGATGAACGAAAGAAAAAAAAAAGGCAGTTTTATCAGCTTCCAAGGGAAAGTTATTAAGATCCCACCACAAGCCTGTGATTGGCAGGAAATCCCAATGGATTTGGCCTATTACTGCCGATGAAGCAGCACAGCAGCCTTCAAGTCTCAAGTTCAACAACAGATTACTGCATCCCAGCAACTCCTTATTTATCATCATAAAGTAGGGGGGGGGGGGGGGCTCTGGAGATTTTACGGCCTTTGGGCACTGGATGTTACAGCCGTAGATTATGTCACAACCAATCACCCTCACGCACAGTCTGCGGCATTAAATCCTACACTCAGCCGAGGAGCCCAACTTGGGTCTTCTAGTGTGGGCCATAAAAAATCTTTAATCAGCAGACCTGTGGCATAATTGACCTTTTCCTTTTCTTTGTTCTTGGGGTATTTAAAAGCTGTTGGTGCAAAACCTGATCTTCAAGGAAATTTAAACTGATGTTTAATCATCCCCATAGATGAAGCCTTACATAAGAACCAGCTTAAGGTTCAAAGTCACGTTGACCCAGGAGACCCAGCCATTGACTGTGAACACACATGTCCCATTCCTAGAGAGATTTAGACATATGTGATATCAGGAAGCACGAAGCGCTGACACTAAACAATATACTGATCTCAGGCCCGCATGACAACAGATTAGAGAAAGAAAGAAGGGCAAGAAAAACGACCCTATTAGAAAGAACGTGGGAAAGAGAACTATAGGTTAAGCTTTTAGAAGATCACAGGGCAAAATTCTTATGAAATCAGTTTTGGTTCTAAATATACCAAAAAAAACAGCTTTTTCTCTTTAATCTCAGTCTTGTGTTTTTAAGTTGTCAGTACTCTTCCTTCATTTCTGTTTATGAAGCAAAGCAAAATGTTAAAAGGAATTACAAATTAACGTGGGAAACCACATCATAGCCACGTCATGATGCATTCCAATCAAACGTACATATATGCAGACAAACACAAATAATAAAAGGAGTGAAAGGATGCATTCACACATCCTACGTGTAAACACATCCAGAACTTGGAAAATGGGAATGACTGGCTCCATTATGTTTTGTGGGAACATCCAAACGCAACCTGAAAGATAAAAAAAAATGTCTCTGCTTTTCCTTAAGTGTCAGGTTTTCTTCTTTGTGTTCTGCTACGCACACAAAAAAAGAAAAATGTTACATTAAGTATTGCCAGACCTGCAAACATACTCTTTCATGGTCCTGTATATCCACAGCTATGCCATAGCGAGAAGGCGTTGTGTCTGTGCCAACAGATAAGGTCATTCAGTGGAAAATTTTCATTCAATTTAAACATTCTGCTCTTCATAAATCTCGCTCTCTGGCGCCATATGGCCAATCACAAGGAGGGCTTCTGAGCCAGATGGCCAATGGCAATGACCCTTACTCAAATCAGGGTTAATCTCAGGAAGACAACGATA